CACCACCACCAACAACAACAACACCGATAACAGCAGCAACAATAACAACAACAACAATTTACGTAAGACTTCTGAAACGCCGGAAGTTAAGAGTCGCCAAAAAATAGATGTATGAAATACAAAAATAGAACAATGACATCATTAAAAATCTAATTAAAGAACAACTGTAAATTGTTAAAAACACTTTCTATATTTAAAAAAGAAATAACGATTTGGAATATAAAAACCTAGCCACATTTGTCATGTTTTTGAAGGACTGCAAGCCTCGAGGAAACGGATATAACGGCAAAGAGAGAGAAAGGAGAGCGGTTAGATAAAGAGAGCAGCAATAGCTCAATAAAATGCATGTTTTATATAACTTGTTTTTGTCATTTACAGCTCGAGGAAACGATTGCTGACAACGAGAAACGACAACAAGAGATCAAGGTCGAAAATGAATTGCTCTTACAGGTAAAAACAACACAATTACTCAAAGAAAAATCTTCCGTCACTGACTTTAATGTCAGGTTTTTGCTTTTGGATTTTTCTATGGAAACGTACAAACAACAACATTTCATAAACAAAATAACACCTAAAATGAGCCGAATTAAGAACGGTGAAAGTGTTTGGCAAGTACCACCATTTCAATCAACTTTCCAACAAGTCCAATGTAACGTTCTTCTCCTTTTATTTATGTTTCGTTTTTAGAAAAATATAAGCTTAGAAGACCAGCTCACTGACTCAGTAATATCATTAGAGGACACCAGAAATTATGTACAACACTTACAGACGATTACAGCAGAGGAGAAGGAAGAAAGAGCAAGGTAAGGAAGGTTTGAATTCAGCAGACGACTATGCGAGTTTCTTTGGTGTATTTCTGTTCTCATATGAGTAGAAAAAGTATAAAACACAGTCATTTTGGATTTGAGTCATTGAATCGATGATAAATAAAATTGATGAATAGATGTCTTTGGAAAATGGATGGATGAACGCATGAAAGGGAGAAATGGATGGATGGGACAAGTATGGATGGAATGGATTAAATCGGTTCGGCTGCACGCAGGCTAGAATGGTTGAAACTATATGGTAAAAGGAACTGAAAGTTTTTTGTTTGTTTTTACAAAGACACGCTCTCAAAATGACGCAAGGAATGCAGCTTGAACAGGAAAGTCTCATCCAGCAACTTGACTTACTCAGGTAAGAGTCATGATAATGCCCGAACCCGACTCATGCACGACTTAAACCGATAATGCCCGACAAGGCCCCGACTTATACCGATAATGCCCGACACGGCCCCGACTTATACCGATAATGCCCGACACGGCCCCGACTTATACCGATAATTCCCGACACGGCCCCGACTCATGCACGACTTATACCGATAATGCCCGACACGGCCTCGACTCATGCACGACTTATTGCAAATACATTGCGAAAGATTTTCGACATTTTACGAGTCTAATCGATTGATTCACACATTACTTGTAGGGACGTGAATCAGAAATTGCGCGACGACAGGGACTCCATTGAAGCTGCTCACAAAGCGGTAAGTATGATCAGCGGTTTTACACATGGAAGGATCGCTGTACACTGATTACAACAATAATACTGTTTTAATGTAATTGTTTTAACATTTAAGGACAATTATTTTGTTTTGTTATTAACATACGATTAATAGTTATGTAACGCAGTATGTCACTTTTGTCACGCTATTCGCGTGACACTAATGCTTGGTGGTTTTGCATCATATGTCTAACGCTTTGTTTTGTTGCTGTTGCTATGGTGACGTCGGGGATACAACAGATGTTAATGACAGTACGTATGGTTATAATACGATTAACATTATTTATGTGTGTTTTTTTTTTTTTTTGCTTTTATGTTATCGTTATTTTTATTATTATTATTGATAAATCATGATGTTGATTCCTTTACTGTGTTCACTAAAAYAAATCTTGCAAAACAAGCTTCTTAACCTGTTTTACTGGCTAAAACCGGCTTACCGTGTTTTAATACCTTCTTAACTGCAACAACTGTAACAAACCTGTTTGTCTGGTTTTAAAACTCTTTTTAAAATTCGAATTAGCCATTTTGGGTTTTAAATAACGTTTAAACATTGTCTTTTCTAACTAACTTGTTTAAAACTGACCAGCTTAACCAGTTCAATCAGTAAGAATGATAAACTGTTTCATGGTTTGTTGTCCAGAAACGCGAGCGTGGACACAGTCTTAGCGATGAACTAGAGGAAGCCGAGGTAATAAGCATTTTAATGATAAATTAAATATAGTAAATTTAATTGAGATTAAACTGAGTAAATGATTCTTTATTGCTTATACCGATGTATAAATACCCTTGCAGCAATAAATCAATTGCCCAAATAGTATCACAAGMCACAATATTTTGATATGGCGATGTTAAATCATAAACGTCAATAAAGAACTGTTTCAAAACTCTTCTAAAACTCCTTAATGTCGCATTAAATTTGCGCCCACGGTTTGTTTGTCACAGCGGATTCATATAAAGTATAGCGCGCATGCGTACAAGAAGCACTGCCAAGGCTTCTTCTTTRCGCATGTCTTTGGTAAAGTTGTTGCTGTCTTTTAAAGTTTTCTAAAAACATTTTTCTACTAATAATCATGATCACATCTATTATCAGATACTTGGAAGATGATTTTGAATGGCGAAAGCGACATTATTGGCAGTAATTAACTCACTGATACTAATATATTTTTTTACTTTAAAAGAAACACAAAAAAGTTAATCGACAAGGCTCCAAAATGTCCAAATACTTTGACCGCAGTTCAAGAAATCAATCATCAGTGGACTGGGGCAAGCAAGGCGCGATTGAATCTATTGATGAAAATGTTAACAGGTAGTGTAGCCCGAGTAAATGTCATTCTTAAATACAAACATAGTGTAGCCCGAGTAAATGTCATTCTTAAATACAAACATAGTGTAGCCCGAGTAAATGTCATTCTTAAATACAAACATAGTGTAGCCCGAGTAAATGTCATTCTTAAATACAAGCATAGTGTAGCCCGAGTAAATGTC